TACACATATTGATATTTATATTTATCGTAAATATATTTTTACCTGAAATGAGTGTTTGGACTTAAACTACAAGCTCGTTATAACATGTAGAATTGGGCCCCCCTGAATAAAATTCCTAGATCCGTCACTGCGCCTAGGTGGTGTAGGCAGTCCAACGCTTATGTGTGTGTATATATATTATAAAATAATAAATATGTAAATTAATATATTAAGATATTAACTATAAGTATATAATATACTTTAGCTTTATATACAATTTTTTATTTGTTTTATTATAAAATATACAATAATTGAAAAATAAAAAATGACAATTATGTAAATTAATTTAAAGTATATAATATATTATAGCTATATATATATATATACTATTTTTTATTTTATTACATAACATGTACAGTAATTATAAAATAAAAAAAAAATTTATGTAAATTATTCATAAGTATATAATATAATTAATCTATATATACTAATACTATAGCTAGTAATTGTTTGAAACATCAAAGTGAAGTGAATGAATTTAGGCTGAAATCAAATCGTGATCTCTGTTTAATTTTAATCCTATATTCCATCCAGATTCACTCCACGGCTTCCGGATAGGAATTAACTACGGGCGTGTGGCGAACAACCTCCCGACCCCATCACGTGTGGCTTCCTTCATCCTCTCCCTCAACATAACCCGTGTCAGAATCTACGATGCCGACCCGGAAGTCCTCTTGGCATTCGCCAACAAATACGTGGAACTAACAATCGGGCTCGAAAACAAGTACATTGTGAACTTCACCGACCCAGCCCACGCCCAGAAGTGGGTCGAACAGCATGTGGCCCCCTACGCCAATCATACCAATATCAAGATGATAACAATCGGCAACGAGGTCCTGACTGGTGACGACACCAAGATGAAGAACTCCCTTGTGCCCGCCATGGTAAATGTCCAAAAAGCCCTCGATAACCTTGGCCTGAGCCAGAAAATCTACGTGAACACTGCACACTCGTACGGGATCATGAATGTTTCATTTCCCCCTTCGTCGGGCAAGTTCAAAAGCGAGCTCGTGGGCTACCTCGAGGAGATATTGGACTTCCTCTCCCAACACAACTCCCCGTTTTTGATGAACGTGAACCCCTACTTTGCATACAGGGACGACCCGAAGCACGTGTCATTGGCTTACGTGCTTTTCGAGCCCAACCCGGGGCAGACAGATCCCGTCACCAAGTTGCATTACGACAACATGTTGTACGCACAGACGGACGCTGTTTACTTTGCCATTGATGCTTTGTCCGCATACATGGACTCGGCCATCAAAGCTACTCCGGGCTTCACTGTGTATAATACCGAGACCGGATGGCCGTCGCGCGGAGGCCTAAGACGTGGACGACCTCCACTTGGGGCCAAGATAAAGAATGCGAGGTTGTACAATGGGAATCTGCTGAAACGGGTGGAGGCGAAGCAGGGGACTCCCCTGAAGCCTTCGATACCAATCGACGCTTCCATCTTTGCGCTCTTTGACGAGGATCTGAAGCCCGGCCCAGATACGGAGAGGCATTACGGTCTATTCTATCCCAATATGACGCCTGTCTACGATATCGGGTTGCAAGGTCCTCGTGGTGGTCGTGCTGCTGCTTCTATTCAGCGCGTGGATTAGGGGATTGATAATATACATACTACTGTGGGTGGGTTGTTTGGGCTTTACGTGCCTTTCATCTCTTTTCTGTTCCTGCTTGTTTAATTAATGTTCCCACCGCACACATACATATACCAACTGTCCGCTCAAGAATAATGTTACTTACGTACGTACCTATATGTTTAAGCTTGTCGTGAGAATAAGAAGAAGAATAATGAAGAATAATAAAAACTCACTTTATAACATATATTTTGAAGTGCATGCGAATGATTAAATTATAAGCCCCTTAATTAATGGTGTAC